TGTCTCTTAATCATGTGGAATTAAGCTCATTGACTTCCAGGAATGCCCAAGAGAGCTAATGAACATAAATCACATTGACAAGAGATGAAAGTACTTTACTATATTTTTCATTCCTATTTTGTTAAATTTCACTCTTTTTTTTTTTTTACACAATAGTATACTTTCTGTTACTTAAAGAAATGAAGATCCATCAATAACAAAGATTAGAACCTAAACCATGTCTTTGGTTTACTTAACTACTATTGACTTTTATAAATTATTTGGGCCTAAAGTCACAAGCTTTTGAAAATCTCTTGAGGCTTGCCTTCCTCTTACTGTCAGCATGAATTGCATCTAAATCATTTTACACAAACAGGTGTCCCCTGTCAGGTTCCAGAACAAAGAGAAGATCAACTCCCTGTGGCAATCCTTTTAGTCTCTAATAGCTAGCTGCTTTGGGGAATTTCATATATCTTAAATCCCTTCAAGAATAACATGCACTCTTTGGTTTATATAATATAGCTACTTTGTCTTCTCCATATGCTCTAATAACTATGAATACTTCTTTCCTGTACTGAATTCACTTGCATATTTATCAAGTATCACTAATCGTTAGCTATAGTCTTTTCATGATGGTCAGTACTGAGAAATATCATTAAAACCAAAATTTCCACACAATGATATTAATACTTCCTTAAAGCAGTGTTAAATGTAGTAAAAGTCCAATACAGAAATATTTGAAGAATCATTTTCCTTGCCTTCAAAGAGATTTTGAACTACATTCCAAACCTATGAAACCACTCATTAGTTATAATGGTTCATTTTCTTCATCTAAACCCTTAACATGTCCTAGATATTGCTTATTAAGAGTTTATGTCTTATGCTTCAATAGTCTCATATTATACATTATACTGACTTTAAGGAAAAAAACATTTTTCATGAAATGTCTATTTTATTTTACCTTTATCTTTCTAATATTGCATTGATTCTGTAGAACCCTCACTGATAAACCCCAATCTGAACATTAAAAGCACTTAGCTACTGATTTATTTAATCATTAACTAAGACATTTCCTTGAGCCCCAAATCTGTTTTAGCACTCTATTTTGGCACTGTATATTATGCACATACAAAATTTATGATTCTTACACTCAACATCTTATATTCTGGGGATAGATGGAAACAAAGAGGAATGTACAAAAGCCAAATCATCATGGACCCTTCTCTCTTCTCCAATTTCTTTATCCAGGCTCCTCTAACTTCATTTCTCAACAGTGTCCTAAATTCTTCCACCAAATTACATCCTATATTTTAGTTCCTCCAAAGTATTACAGTCATACTTTGTCCATACTAATTCTTCAACTGTTTGTATTATTTCCCTGCTCCCATGGCTCACTCTAAATCCTCATAGATATACAAACTAAACACACACACACACACACACACACACACACATTGCTGACAAAGACCATATTAACCTCTTTGAATGGCCTGGTACAGATACAACATTTTAGGAACTTTAACTCTTTCAGCAAACTAATGAAGATATTTTAAGTTAAAATACTCTACAAAGACACAGTAGCAGTATAAACAGATTATTGTATTTGCAGAAAAATGCCCTAAATGAAAGAAGAAAGGAAGAGGGGATGGGGAGTGAAGAGGGAAGAAAAAAAAAAGAGAGGAAGTAGAGGAACAGAGAGAAGAGGGAAGAGAAGGGAGGGGAAAAAAAGAAGAAAGGGATAATCAAGAATATTAAGCTACATTTTCTGAATTGGTTGATATACAAAAGATTCTCCAACCACACATTTGCTTTACATATGTTTTTGTACAGAATTCTTCAAATGACAGCAACTCAAATGTTTACTTACTGAATTGCTCTAACACTTCACACACTTGAGGAGGATAAGTAATATTGATAGTCTGCCTCTTTTCTCAAGTATTGTTTATAATTTTTTTAAGTACAAAATGGTTGCAGGAGAAAAATCCATTGTGTAATCAAGGCTGAATATCTTTTTCCAATAATGTTAAAGGTCTTGATTTTAAATGTATGCACATCCTTAGAGACCAAATATAATGCTTATTTGTCACAACATTCACATATATGAAATGATATTCAAAACATTACAAAGTTTTATTTTTAATACTTCAATCAAGATTTTATAATTATATAACTGCCTTATTAAATTTAATTTGCTCCTTAAATTAATAGCAATAGGGGTGTATGCCAATGTGATAAAAATAACGCATCTCCAGCTTGTGTAATAAGAGCTCCTATTGCTTTCAAATTAGGTCTGTTAATGAGAAACAAATACTTCTGAATTTTTGTGGAATGACCATATGTGTTAGGTTAAAGTAAACACTACACACAAATAACATGCCATAAAAATTCAACACTATTGTGTGCATTATAATTTTATATGTACTCGATTGATAAAATAGCTAATTCTGATTTTCTGGCAGTCACAATGAATTTTTTTAAAAAAAATCTTGTAAAAGAAAAAAGCATTGAATCATGTTTACTGAACTTTCACAATGATTAATAAAATCAAGAACAAAAAGTATTCAATGATAAGAATAAAGAACAAGGATAAGCAGCCTTCTTGGTTAATATGCAAGATCCAACATTAAAAATTGATTTTGAATCCCTGGCCTTAGTGACTCTGGTTTTATAGGTTGGGCTGGGCATGAAGATTAAGCCATTAATCTTTTAAGAAGAAGATGCCAAGTGTACTCCTCTTCTACTTGATATATGGAGATCAGTAATGATGCTATTCAGTAAGCTATCTGGTCTCTCATACAAAAAGGTGCCACAGTAACAAACATCAGTTGAAATGAATCCAAGTTGAATGAATAAAAGCTTATGGATAAAATAATATTAATTTCCAAATTTCATACTTAATATCCCAAAACAAACCAAACATACTTCCATCTATATGGGACTTAGTATAGACCCTAAAAGAAGTTATCTTAATTCACATTCTATACAAAGGTAAAACAAGGCAGGTATTAGGGTTTTGCAGCATGCTTATTTGTCATTATTACATTATGATATTAAAAACATATTTGGTTTGATTATTGACTATATTCATAAGTTGAAAACAGCAAAGTCTCAGAAATTCCACGTCACTTAGGACATCATTTCAGTTAACACCCTCCGAAAATAATTATTTGTATCATTCAAAAGAAAATTTGAATTTGAAACAGGTTAATGAGCTTTCCCAAGTCTCTAGAGCAGTAGATACAAATTTTACAATTGTCCCACATTTCTAGGTCTGACCTATAATCCTCAAACACAAAAAGTATTTCCCAATTTGCTAAAACTTCTTGCATCCAAATTAGAGCTTATATAGAATGGAGCTGATACCACTATTTTATGATGACAAAGTCATGTGTGCATTTCAGTAAGTGAATCAGATCTAATATACACAAAACTGACAAAACAGATTTTATATAATCAAATGCAATAACTAGAATAATGAGGGTTTTTTAAAGATTCAATCAATAATCATATTTTAACCATAGAGGCTCCTATCAATTAAAAATACCTCCTAAAATTGATGAAATAATATGAATCATAGAAACACTATTTTTCACATTGCTTACAAACACATGAATGGCATATACAGCAGCAGTACCAAAATGTTCTGGAACCTATGATGAGCTCAATAAAATACCTTTTACATTCAACCCTGAACCAAACTCTCATCCATGCACAAAGCTTTTCCCAATTTCTTCCCAAACTTTCTCCTCAAAAGGGGTTCACGTGAGCGAAATTGCTATTTCCCTTGCCTGTGGCTTTTTTCATCAACATGAATTTGAAACCTCTTAATCTAGGGGAATGAGATGGTTGCTGCACAGCCCCACCTCAAATTTTTTCATGCTCTCTCCTTTCTGAACTCCAAATATTCAATTCTTGGTATCACAACTTTCAACTTCCTATGGCTTTGTGAACATTAACTCATCTTTTTTCCCTAATGTCTCTCTGGAACTAATGGAGAACACATTCTGATTCTAGCAGCTAAACACAATGCATATCTTCTTCCTTTATGCTTAAAAGCTATAACTTCAAAACTTCTGTAGTCTTACATCAAATGTGAACTTTTCAAGGCTTTGTATTATAACTGACATTATAGTTTCATATCAGTATGTATTAAGTCCTCCCTTCCCCTGCCCCTCTCTCTCTCTCTCTCATTTGTTTTTACACCAAGGGTTGAACCCAGGGGGTACTTAATGACTGAGCCACATTCCCAGAACTTTTTGAGACAGGGTCCTCCCAATTTGCCTAGAGCCTTGTTAAGTTGCTTCGGCTGGCCTTGAATGTGTGATCCTCCTTCCTCATTCTCCCAAGTTGCTGAAATTACAGACATGCACCACATCTAGCTCAATCATCCTATATGCTTTCCTTATTCCAAGTATTAACAGTCCACTACTGCCTCAGATAACTGATAACATGTGAATTTTTCATTAAGATTCAACACTGATCTATTTAGCAGCCCCTTTCATTACCATTCTAATCTATCTTTATATTTCCTTACTAAAATATTATGGTGTGTCCCTGTGACATTTTCTTAAATAACACTGGTGCTTTCTTTAAATGCTTCCAAGTGAATTCAGCAAATCAGTTGAAGTATAAACCTAAAAAGAATCTGCCCTAAGCATAGCCGAGAATGAAATGCTAACATTAAATGTTAACATAAAAAAATCCACAATATTGCCATGCAAAAATTAAGATGACACTCTATGAAAGAATGCTGAAACTCATATAATGAAATAAAAATGCAAGCTTTTGATATTGAATTCATTCCAATCCAAAATAAACAACAACATAAGCTACATCCGTTTCAACTCACTCCCACTTTTATAATATCCTATTAATGTACTCTACTAATTATCCATATACCTACACATCTCCACAATTTGAATTCCCCAAAATTGTCATACTCTCAGAAAAGGCACATATGTAAATGCAGCACCATCACTTTAAGCCATAAAAATGAGGAAAAAAGGAGGAATACTTCTTACCAGAGCCTCTTTTGGTCACAACCTTCAAACTCTGAGTGAAAGTAGCATATAAGAGAATCAAATGCGGAATCGGAGCTTTCATCTTCCAGCTCTTAAAGGCTGTTCCCTATAGCAAAGATAAAAAGAAAAACAGCATTTTTAAAGATATATGCCAATATTATAAGATTGATTGTAAAACATTTGATCAAGCATGATTGGGGCAATGAATCACACAAAAGAAAAAACATAAACAGGATCTTTATCATATTTTCCCATGTGTTGTATGGTCCTTATGTTTAAATAAAAATTAATAATGCCAAAATTATGGCTCTATAGGCTTTTTTTAAATCTTATATTCACTTAAGAGCTAGAATTTTTTAGAGGCCCTAATTGTATTTAAATAGTTGAAACAATTCCTTCAAAAGAACTATTTATCTAGCAGTCCACTTTTAATATAAATTGCCAAAACTGACAATTTAAACTGATATTTAAAAATATCCCATGCTGCAAGAGTATGGAAAGAATGACACTGAATAAAATAACAATCAAGATGAAATCTCACATTGTATACTGCTAACGATTTAATTGTGATTTTGAAAGCCTCTTTTAAAAACTTCAAATAAGATACTTCCAGAGAACATTAAGACATTTTTTTCTCTATTACAAGAAGGTAAATTGTGGATGAAAGCTACAAAAAACATATATAATTTCTTTCTATTTTAAGGTTCTTAATGAGATAACAGAAAGGATGCTACCCTTATGTTGGGACTTCAAAAGGGGAACTATTTCATTTGAAATTAACAATATATATATATATATCATCTTCCTCAGAAAATTATCCCTCCTTACTCTAAGATTTATTGAGATAAATATATACATATTTGTCATTTCTAAGTTATAAAACATGATGCTTTAATATGAATATAAATTATGAAATAATTCCCACAATCAAGTTAGTTATGTATACATATTTGGACAGAGGTATTATTTATTTGTTTGGTCACAACACTTAAAATCTACTTTTAGAAAATTTCAAGTATATAATGCAGTAGTATTAAGTATATAATGCAGTACCCCATGCTGTATATTAGATTCCCAGAATGTATTCATCTCATATCTGCAAGTTTGTCCCTTTTACCAACATTCCCCCATTTTCCTCAACTTCCCAGCCTTCGGCAATCACCTTCCTCTGTATTTCTTTTCTTTTTGTATATGGCTGAAATAGGGTTGAAAGACTGAATTTCAAAAAGCAGCAAGTCAGAACATAGTTCACATATATTGTCAACCCATGACAGCACAAGTTTCTTTGCAAGACATATGAGGACTGATCACATCCAGCATTCCATTGCTTTAACTTTAATAATGAGGAAGCAGAAATGGTAATTTAACACAATTTTTGCTCTCCCAGAGACTCAGTTACATCTGAATATTTTCAATAGCTAATTCATTCACATTAATAAAGGTCTGTTAAAATATATATTAATTCACAAAACAAAATCAAAATCCATTCACTGGCAGCAAAGTGTCATTGTCATTATTTTAGTGAGAAAGATTAGAGAATTTATAAAATAACATTGAAAATAAGGTATTTTAATCACAGCACACCTTTAAATGATGATAGCCTCTGTCAGTTTTCTAACCAAGGACCTTGGATTCACATAAAGACATAAATGAAATCTGGTTTGAAGAGTTGATTCATCAGACACATCTGAGAAACTGCCACCATAAAGTGTAAGCCTGAGTCATGCATTCCTCAAACCCATTTCCTAGCCACCTCACTAACTGGAGCTGCAGGAAATCTACAAGTTGATATCTTCAGCCTTTAGGTTAGCAGTGAGAATCAGTTCCTTTCTCAGTGTGAGTTCAATCAGTGCTGCCCAAGAAGCTCCAGGATCCAACTATACACTGCAAGCCCTTCCAGCTTAACTATCTTATTACTTTAGCCTTGTTCAAAATACTATTTCCTTACTCATTTCATTTCTATAAGGCACACAGTCTAGTTTGCAATTCTATTTCTTAAAATTAAATTGGTTTAGAAAGCATCAATTTGGTTACATCAAGATCCTTAATTGAATCTCTTGAAACTCTGTGTATTAGGGAAAACAAAAACAATTACATTGCATTTCACAGACTTGATATCTTGGTCAATCAGTAATAATCTCTACAAAAGTATTTGAAGAAATTTATTGTATCTTAAATTGAAAGATGGGTTAAATATGTCTAGTCATAGATATTTAAGTTTTGATGTACTGATGGCAAAAAAATGAAAATTCTTACCCAGAAAAAAACAATGACAACTGTATACAACTGCCCCACCTGATCAATAGGGGATATTTCCCAAGACCTTTGGTTTTGCCTGAAATCACAGGTAGTACCAACCCCTGTAGATATTGTGTCTTTCACCACATATTCACACATATTATAAACTTTAATTTATAAATTAGATACAATAGAGATTAACAATAGAAATTATTTTAAATTTTATTATAATTGCAAAAATTTTACAGACCTGCAATAAAAGTTGCATGAGTTATCTTTCAATATTTTATTGTACTGCACTCACTCTTCTCATGATAAAGTGAGATAATACAATGCCTATGTGTTAAGATGAAGTGAGGTAAATTATATGGGCATTGTGATACAGCTAGGATACTATATAAGGACCTCTTGCACTTGCACGCAAGCACTGTGATAACTACCACAGTTGATTTGATAACAGAGATGGCTACAAAATTAGTAATAGGAGTATCTCATATACAGGGTGGATACACTAGAAAGGAGGATACACTCATTCCAAGTGGAATTGTTCATGACAGTGCAAGATTTTTCTCACTACCCAAAATAATACATAGTTTATATCTCATGAATTATTTGTGGAATATTTTTAGAGCATGGTTAACAGGAAAATTGAAACTACAGAAAACGAAACTATAAAGGGAGCTACTGGATAATCATTTACTGAGGTTCTCATGTAACTGACAGTTCATACTATCAGTAAAATAATTTTAAAAGGCTTCAATTTCTGGAAGGGTGGACCTAAAATTACTTACCTGATTCTTATTAACAATAGCACTCATCTCTTGGCTTCACATAAACCCCTATTAAATCATATGCAGAATAATGACATCATAGTATCTACGAGCAGTTATGTTTGTCTCCTTTCTTCTCCCAGCTTTGCCACCTATCAGTAGTGTGCTTAGGGACAAATAATTTATCCTCTCTGTGATTAGTTTCTTTATTTGCAAAGTTTTGTAACAGTATATGTAGCATAGTGCCTAGAAGAGACTGGCACATAGAAAGAAGTTAATAAATCAAAGTTGCTGTTTTATTGTAGTTGATTACTGCTATTATTAGTAGCAGTACTAATACTATTAAGTAATCAATTCACATCCACTCCCTGTGAAACTATCTATATATACCAGTTTTAGTTTCCCATCTTTTCCCATACCATTACCTTATATACTTATATATATATTTTTTTCTATTTTGCTAGACTTGATGACCCTGCAGGGTACATGTGCATTTTATTCAATTTTTTTTATTTCCAGTTATTAATGAATGTTGTCTGAAAAAAACTGATGAATATATGAATGAACATGATTATGGCTTCTATCATATGCAGCTCAATTATTGTATTAAAACTCATCATTTGATAAACTTATTGAGCATATACTAGTTACAAGATGCCATGCTATATTGTGAAGTGAGAAACAAAGACAATGCAAGACAGTGTAATAAAGAAGGCTCACAAACCAATAAATGAGACAAATGCTTACCTACTTGATTACACTGGTCCTGTTGTCATATGGTAAGTATAATGTGCTGAGAGAGTAGAGGGAGCAATCTATTAATTCTGCAGCAGGTTGGATGACTGGGAGTCATTGGAAAGGGATTTCAAAAGAAGTATTTCATCGCAACCATGAATTAGACAGTTGCTAAGGGAAAGAGAATTCTGGGTCCATGACAAAGAATGAGTGAAACATTCAGTGTGATAGGGCGAATAATGCTCCACTACCACCAAACATGTCCACATCCAAATCCCTAGAACCTGTTACCATGTTACCTTACATACCAAAGGGACTATATATATATGTGATTAGTTAAGGATTTTGAGGTGGAAGACGATAATTTAGGTTTGCCTAAAATGGTTACAACTTTCCTAGAGAAGGGCAGCAGGTGTATCACATTCAGAGAAAGAAAATATAAGGATAGAAGCCAAAGTTAGAAGTACAAGTCAGAGGTACTTTGAAGATGAAATAATAGGCCATGAACCAAGCAATGTTTGTTGACTCTAAAAGCAATAAAAGTTAAGTAAACTTATTCTCCTCTAGAAATACAGGTTTTCTAACACCTTGATTTTGGCCCAGTAAGACTCATTTTGGACTTATGAACTCCAGATCTGTAAGTTAAAAATTGAGGTTGTTTCAGGCTACTCAAGTTGGTGATAATTTGTTGCAGCAAATAAAAAAAAAATAGGAAGATAATACAGCAAGTAAGTGAAATGGCAAGTTTCTGGAATGAAGTGTAAATACATCACAGGTTGTGGACTATAAGGATACCAGTTGAAAATGTCAATACAGAGTCTTAGTAACAAGATATAGTAAATAAAAAATTGGAACTTTGCCTTCATGCCACCTAGAATAATTTTGTGCTCATCTATTATCAAACTTAATTATACAAGAACATTTTATACAGCTTTCATTTCTTCAACTATTTTTAAGTCATGAAAACTATATATATATATATATAAACTATATATATATATATAAACTATATGTATATATATAAACTATATATATATAAACTATATATATATATAAACTGTTTCATATATATATATATGAGAAACAGTTTCCTCCAAATATAGATAACTTAACTCAGATTCTTCCTGCCCCCCTTTCATGCAAGCCTAAGATTCTTACAGTAATGACATTAAAGAGCCAATGAATGTTCATAAGATAATAATGAGAATTGTTTCATGAATCATAGGTTAAAGGTAGAAGAAATTAACTATCAGGCAGTGGAAAAGAAGAAGAGGAAGAGAGTTAGCCCTAAGAAAAAAAGATTAAATAGTGGGAGAACAAAATAGTACACAAAAAAATAGAACATAATGATATTAAAGGAAAT